AATAGGTTCTTCTCTTTTACACACTGACCACGGGTTCTCCTCTCTCCACTCCTCCAAGCTTCCCTTCACCTCCCCTCTCACTCAGATCCACTTCACCCCTGATTTGCTCTTCAGAAAAGAATAGTCCTCTAAGAGACAATAGTCAAATGAGACAAGGCAAAGGCCCTCATATCAAGGCTGGACAAGGCAACACCATAGGAGGAAAAGAGACCCAAGACCAGACAAAAGAGTCAGAGATTCACCTACTCTCCCTGTTAGAAGTCCCACAAAACAACAAACTAACAGCCATAACATATAAGCAGAGAACCTTGTGCAAACACATGTAGTTTCTGTGCTTGCCAATCTGTCTCTGTGAGCCCATGTGAGTCCTGCTTAGTTGATTTGGTGCCAAGAACATTTCATCAAGTGTTTATTAGCCATTTGAGATCCTTCTGTTGAAATTCTCTGTTTAGATATGTATGCCATTTTCTTTTTTTTTACACCAAATGTATCACAACTTTTAATTTTATAGATATTAACACATTCACAAATAACTTATTTATTCCAGGTTCTACAGATTTTCATTGGAAGACAAAGGCTTATTGTTTAAGTTGTAGCTGACAGAGCTCTGTATACAGATAAAATAGGAGGAAAAACTTTTCTTTTAAAAATAAAATTTTAAAAATAAAAGTCTATGCAGTTGAGACTGGGTGGCTCTGACTCTGAGACATATGCTTCATTGTACTTTCCTGACACTTTTGACTTATTGAAACATATGTTCCTCTTGCGGACATACCTGTCAGATAAGTCTCCTCCAGGGTTTGGAGTTCTTCAGTTCTCTTGTGACCTCATGATACTTTATGTAGTGCTGTGTGTTCTGGTTTGCAGTCTGTTTCAGGGCTGTGTTTGTATTAAGGTGAGTTCATTTGAACATTCCATAATTCCATGGTATCCTATATAGAGAATAGTTCCCTCTTAAATGAGTTAGAATATATGGTGAATCTATAATAATAAGTTAAAGTTCTTGACTTTCTGAGGACAGAGGGGACTGAGTTTTTCTTGAAAGCATCTGTGTCCATCACGATCCCTAACTTCAAGCTCTACTATAGAGCTACAGTAATAAAAACAGCTTGGTATTGGCATGTATGCCATTTTCAAATTGCATTATCTGGTGTTTGGATATCTACTTTCCTGAGTTCTTTATATATTTTGGGTATTAGATAGAAGACTTTCTATTGGATGTGGAGTTGGCAAAATTCTTTTCCTTTTCTCTAAGCTGTGACTTTGTCCAATTGACAGTGTCCTTTCTCTTTCTGCTTTCTGAAGGTTTTCAGTTTTATGAGTTCCCATTTATTAAGTGCTGATCTTAGTGCCTGCTCTGGCAGTTTCAGTTCAGAAAATCATCTTCTGTTTCAATGATTTCAAGGCTAGTCCTCACTGTCTCTGAGGTCTTTAATATATTTGAACTTCAGTTTTGTACATGGTGAAGATATGGATTTATTTGCATTCTTCTTTGTGCTGACATCCAGTTTGACCACCACCATTTGCTGAAGATACTTTCTTTTTTCCAATGTATGTTTCTGGCTTCTTCATAAAAAAAGTTTTTATAGGTGTTTGGGCTTATGCCTGTGTATTCAATTGATTCCATTGATCAACATGTCTGTTTTTATTTCAATACTACATGGGCTTTATTGTTATAGCTCCACAGTACAAGGTCATATCAGAGATGGTGAAACTTCCAGCAGTTCTTTTAGTTTTCAGGAATGTTTGCTATCCTGGGCTTTTTGCTTTCCTATATGAAGTTGAGAATTTTCCTCTAAAGGTCTTCAAATAACTGTGTTGGAGTTTTGATGGGGATTGCATTGAATCTTTAGTTTGCTTGTAATAGGATGGCCATTTTTACTATGTTAATCCTATGGTGTCATGAGCATGGGAGATCTTTCCATTTTCTGATATCTTCTTCAACTTCTGTCTTCAAAGACTTGAAGTTTTTGTTGTACAAGTCTTTCACTTGCTTGGTTAAAGTTACCCCAAGATATTTTGCATTATTTGAGGTTATTGTGAAAGTTGTTGTTTACCTGATTTTTTTCTCAGTCTGTCTGTCATTTGTATATAGGCAGGCTACTCTTTTTTTTTTTTTTTTCTGATGCAAGCACATAAGGGTCCTTTTATTCAGGTTCAACCTGGGCTGCTGCATAGCAGATGGAAGGAAATGTGGTGACAGCCACGAGCCCAGGTGTAGAGGGTTTTTATAGGGAAAACCCACAAGCAGGGAATTGGCAACTTGGAATTGGGTAGAAGGGGCAAGGTGATTTTTTGAAACTATTGGTCTAGACATTTGGTGGGAACAACAAACCACTGAACAGGATTATCTGGACTGCTCAGCAGGATTGCCTAGATGTCTCCAAGGGCCATAAACCACAGAGAGGATCCCGTTAAGCTTTCCTTTCCTGTATAAACAGCAGACAGGATGTCTGCAGGAGGACACTGCTCGGTATCTGTTCGAGTTATCATGGCATATTCCTGAGCCTGTAAAGTTAAGTCTAGGCCTTCACATTCCCCCCTTCACAAGTACCAATGACAGGACTCAATCATGAGTCTTACCTGTCCAGAGGTTCAAGGGTATTGGGACCTAAGAACCATTAGCTAACAGATTTTTCTAGGGCAGTGCCATTTGTATCTATTGCCATTTTTTAAGGCCCTGTAGTTCTGATCTTTGAGTACAATGAGATTAACATCTTATATAGTACCTCTTTGGTTCTGCATAAAGAATGTCAAGTGTTTTATCTTATTGCAGAACCATCTCAGTTAATAAATTTATCTATTGGCAACTCTGAACATATTTTCACGGTATGTCAATGGGCATTATAGTTGGCCATCTTGCCTCTATGCCAAGGAGTTTCCTTTTGACCCAGCTTTTCAGCCTTTTCTGAACAGGGGACATGGGACAGTGTATTCTCTTCTGGAACTGCTTCGAGCTGGCATTGGGGTGCTGTTGTCAGGACCCCAAAAAGACTGAAAGGCTGGTTAAAAGCTGGTCAAAGGCTGGGCAATGGGGCATCTGTCAGAAGCTACTCAATTTTTAGAGTTAATCTTGTTTCTAACCACTTTGCTGAAGGTGTTTATCAGATGTAGGAGTTCTCTGGTGGAATGTTTGGAGTCACTTATGTACACTATGATATAATCTGTAAATAATGGTGCTTTTCCTTTTTCTGTTCCAATTTATATATCTTTGATCTCCAAAGGTTGTCTTACTGCTCTATCTAGAATTTCAAGAACTATATTGAATAGATATGTAAAGAGTGTACAACTTTGTAATGTTCCTGATTTTAATGGAGTTGCTGTAAATTTTCCTCAATTTAATTTGATTCAACAAGTAATCCTTACTAATGGGTATCATATTGTGAAGTATAACATCAGAAATTTTTGTGAAATAAAGAATACAATGATTTTTAGACATATTATCAAATTCTGATATTGTCAATCATTACATAAACCTAATTGACATAGTTTCCCTAGTCCTGTATGTATATTTTTGTGTGTACTGCAAGGCTTGTAATTGACCATAAAATATATTTTCTGATATACTTTTCATTTACTAAAAATTAGGACACAATTCATGTCAATATCTTGTACAATACCTGGAACTTAGTGTATGCCTGTTATAGCCATTAACTGAGAAAATAAGAGACTTTACAAACATTTGCTAGGACTAGGAACATTAGATATGAAGTACATCTTTAATAAAGTTTGGTTCAGAAAGGTGAATGTATAAATATTAATATATTTAAAATATAAATCAAACAATTCATTAGCATAATCTAAAAGCTGTCACACAAAAAAATATTTACTAATTTTACCTGGGAATATAAATGCAGACTAAAACAAAAATATTCTTCCAGTTGAATATGTACCATGTACCTAAGGGTGGTGGGTCATAGGGAGAACATGGAATAGCATGGGGTTGCCTGTGAAATATGGAAAAGTCTAGTTTTATTAAGGATAGTGTTCATACAGTTTGTTGGGGAGGGAGCAAAAGAGAGCATCATAATTGACAAAGGAATAATTAATATCTATATCAGTCTTGATAAACCTTTTCAGAGATCTGATACTTTCTCATTTCTTCTCCTTAATAGGTGATATCACCTTCAAACACCTAGATGTTTAGTAGTTCTCTTTTTCTGTTATTAGGTTCTTGTTAACCATATTATTAATAATCCTTTACAGTTGAAAAATAGCTAGTACTTGAATATTGATTCATGTTGGCTTTTATTTCATTATGCTTTTCCCCCCTTTTCTTTCTATTTTTTATTTTTCAGGAATAAAGTGGTTGTTAGAAAAAACACTAACAACATCATACCAAAATGAAGTTTTTCCTGCTGTTTTCCCTCATTGGGTTCTGCTGGGCTCAATATGACCCACATACTGCATATGGACGAAGTGCTATTGTCCACCTGTTCGAATGGCGCTGGGTTGATATTGCCAAGGAATGCGAGCGATACTTAGCTCCTAACGGATTTGGAGGAGTTCAGGCAAGATTTCTTCACAACTTAAATGAAGAGTTCACTGTGCTTATATAAAATTGTTTTCTAATAGTTCATAATTATTCTGAAGCAATATTGCACTTCATGGATAATTTTCTTGAGGAAGAAAAAAGGCCGGTGTTGATGGCAACTTTATATCATGTTTTAGGACACTAGGAGGCCCTCTCCATAATGCTGTCAATGATTTTAGTGGTTCTGAAGCAATAGATCTACAAGTACACAGCTCAAGAATTTCAGGGTCATTCATAGTTTTCTATAGGAGTAAACCATAATCTGACAATCTTAACTGTTTTATTTGTAGGTCTCTCCACCCAATGAAAACCTAGTAGTTAACAGTCCTTCAAGACCTTGGTGGGAAAGGTACCAACCAATTAGCTACAAAATATGCTCAAGGTCTGGAAATGAAGATGAATTCAGGGACATGGTGAATAGGTGCAATAATGTTGGTGTAAGTGAATTCATATTTCCTTTGAAATCATTATATGAAAAACCAATTTCTGTCTTTTGTTTCTTATTCTTCTTGAGCAAAAAACTTTATACTTTAATTTTTTCTTTACATTTTAGCTCCAACTCAAAATTAACTACTCCTTTATGGTCAACTTTAAAAAAATTCTTTCATATGAACCATTTAAAGAAGAATACATAGAAGGCAAATCTTTGACGATTAATCCTTATAACCACACTCATTTTCTACTAACCCCTTTTTCATCATTTATTAAAAATTTCAGATGTAATACTTACTGTCATTATTGTGATAAATAGCTATTTCTCCTTTTAATAAAGATCAGTATCTACCCTTTTTTCCTTCAGAGACTAAAAAAGACTCACATTAACTCTTTTTAAAACCAAGAATGTTCAATTATCTTTAACCTAATTCTTGTTTAAAAAAAAACAACACTTTTCATTTGATTTTAATGATAATGGTTCCTGGTTTTCCACATATCAGTTCTATAAATCCTCAACCAAATATTAGGACTGTTTTTGATCTTCATTTCACACTGATTTTCTTTTACACTTTGTTTTTTGTCTTATCTAAAATTAAACTATAAAATAACATATCTATCTATCTATCTATCTATCTATCTACCTATTATCTATCTATCTATCTATCTATCTATCTATCTATCTATAATCTATCTATATCTATCTATTTATCTATCTATTTATTAGTTTTACTTGCATGCTGTGCAGTTTAATTATATAGGTTTTAGCTCTCTACATTGAACTGAAGCACACACTTGTCTCTTTAGGTCCGTATCTATGTGGATGCTGTTATTAACCACATGTGTGGAGAAGGGGCTCAAGCAGGAACAAGCAGCACATGTGGAAGCTATTTCAACCCACACAACAGGGACTTCCCTGCAGTTCCATACTCTGGTTGGGATTTTAATGATGGCAAATGTAAAAGTGGAAGTGGAGGCATTGAGAACTACAATGATGCTTATCAGGTGAGGAAAATGATCAGAATAAAAAATCATCTGGCCTTATTGTGCACACAGAACTGTTGGAATACCATTTGACATGTGGTTTAGATACCTCAGGAAACATATTACTAAGAGTTATAAATGCAAACCAATCTTCAAAGAGCTCCTAGTTATTTGATAGCTCAGGGTTTGATTCTTGTACCACAGTAAGAAAGAAAAAGAGAGAGGAAGAGAAAATGTTTCCTTGATCAACTGATAATATTATCTACTTTATTTCCTCATAGTTCAGTCTTCATATGGGAAAATATTCTTAGAGTGTATCCATAGTAGAATGTGAATGTTCCCAGTGTTCCATGAAAAGGCTTTATGAAGCTTCCTATAGACTGAATGATTCCTGAGTGAAAGCTGACATTTATAAATCAATCACCATTTTGTTTTATTTGTTTATTTGTTTGTCTCAACAGGTCAGAGACTGTCGTCTGTCTGGCCTTCTGGATCTTGCACTTGAGAAAGATTATGTTCGTACCACAGTGGCTAATTATATGAACCATCTCATTGACATGGGTGTAGCAGGTTTCAGACTTGATGCTTCTAAGCACATGTGGCCTGGAGACATAAAGGCGGTTTTGGACAAACTGCATAACCTCAATACACAGTGGTTCTCTCAAGGAAGCAGACCTTTCATTTATCAAGAGGTAAAGCAATACATATATGTGCATATAAATGACACCATATTTATTAACTAGAAGATAGATGGAAGGTTTTATTAAACATAAGTTTAATAGATTAATGTCTGAATGCCTTATTACATGTGTAGGTTCTTTAACTTCCTTTTATTTGGATATAACAGACTTAATTATTTTCCAAAATAAAGGTCTAAGAGAGTATAGAGAATTTGTGTAGCCTGCGACATTATTGTGTCACTTAATATATACCCAGGGACCATTAAACAAGACAGAAAATCTTAGTTGTTGACGCAAGCCAGTCTTTCTAGATTTAAATTTTGTCTGAGGTATTATTAAATGTGTAAATTTTTGGTAAACTGATTAATATTTCTATGCAAATTTTTTGTGTGAAGAGGTTAGTGCTGTTTTGTATTTGATTTCTTTGGAGAACTGAAAGAATTCGTAAGTTCTGAAATTGTTTATCTGACAGTAAGTACTTTGTTGATATGAATTTCTGAATTTTCAACTATATGTTAAATTGAAATTTGTCAGCCATCTTCATTGGACAAGAAATGGCATTGTTGTTAAGTTTCTTTCAAGAGTGATGTATATATTTTATAAAGAAATAAAGAAAACCAGTTTGAGCGTCAACAGCATAAGGAATTTATAGGACATTATTTTCACATTAAATATTTTAATATTACTTTATTCAAACGACAGTTTCTCCTATATCTCGCCTAGGTCATTGATCTGGGTGGTGAAGCAGTGACAAGCAGTGAATACTTTGGAAATGGTCGTGTGACAGAATTCAAGTACGGAGCAAAACTGGGCACAGTCATCCGCAAGTGGAATGGAGAGAAGATGGCCTACTTAAAGTAAATACAGCACACTTGGTGATTTCGTCTGCCATGTATCTGTTGTCCTATTATCCCAATACGTGATCATCTTAGAACATTCTGATTTATTAAATATTTATGAATACGTTAGCTATCAAGAAGGTTCATTGTTCTCTAAATCACAATTAATCATCTGGAATTAATAATTTTCATTTTAAATGTCAATAACAAGGAGGCATTCCTGAAACACAAAACATCACCTAGAGATTTTTTTCTGCTTGTGATATGAGTCAACTAGATTTTGGTAATTATAATCTGCTAAAGTCAAGATACTACTTTAAAAACCCTACTACACATAAATAAAACTATAATGTGGCCATACTGTTACACTTATACATTGCAATAAATTAATCTGAAATGTTTAACTGTTTATAATACAGTGTAATATTCAATCTTCATTTTATTTGTTTTTTATTGTATGTAATGTGATAGGAATATTTACCCTTCTTGAGTCCATCTACATTACAATCTTACAGGAGCAATGTGAAGGAAATGCAAATAAACTTACTATACATAGAATCATGGGACATATTAGCCAATTACATATGCACATATGTGCATACATATATATGCACATATTTAAAAGAAATTTTTCCTGTGGAATAATCATTTAGTTAGAGAATCAGTAGTTAAATGAAAATAGATTATAAAAAGAGATACAGATTTAGGGTAATCTAAAGGTGTTGTAAAAGAATAATATATGCATATTTTTTTTAAAAAAAATAGGAACTGGGGAGAAGGTTGGGGATTCATGCCTTCCGACAGAGCCCTTGTCTTTGTGGACAACCATGATAATCAGCGAGGGCATGGGGCTGGAGGAGCATCCATTCTGACATTCTGGGATGCTAGGTGGGTAAAACCATTGTTCACTGTCTTGTTACTTCCCCTTTAGTGATGGCAAGTTTTCTATTCTTCTGTTATAATATATTTTGTAATTTTCAGACTATATAAAATGGCAGTTGGATTTATGTTGGCTCATCCTTATGGATTCACACGAGTAATGTCAAGTTACCATTGGCCAAGGTATTTTCAGAATGGACAGGTAAGTGAGTATATTATTTCAAGAGAAGGGAAGCAGTCCTGGTTTAATTTCACATAAAAATTGTTGCATAAAGTGCATGTCATCAAATATTTATTTATTGTAATTTTAGTAAAGTAAGTATATCATAGAAGTATCCATTACTTTATCACTATGAAAAAACTTTGACTTCTTCATTTCATGCCAGATCCACAGTTTAAAACTTGACCAAGATAAATATTTGCTAAATACTATTAGATTTTTCTATGGAATGAAAAGAAATCATTCAGTTTCACTGAGGTTAACTAATATATATATATATACATATATATATATATACATATATATACATATATATATATATGTGTGTGTGTGTGTGTGTGTGTGAAATTATACTAAATTAAGCAAATAAATTTGAAGATTTATTCAAGAATACTAAGCATTCCAAAAATATTATGCGATACATTAATCTGAATAATTTCAAAAAGCAACTAAGGGTCAGAGGAGATGACTTAGAGGGTAAAGCTCTTGCAGGAGGGACAGGGCTCAGTTCACTGTCACCTTGCAATGCTGAGCAGTTTGATATCTCACCTGTAAGGCATTTGCCCAACAAGTGGAGACCAAAGATTCCTGGATCATAAAATTGGCCAGCTCTGGGTCTAGGGGGAGAGACCCTTCCTCTGATGACAATGGAGAGAATGTTTGTTCGATTGTTTTAGGAAGATGTTTGAATGTGTTGACAATCATGAAATGGCATATTAAAATTTTAGAGAATTTATTACAGAATATCAGGGTATATTTATTAGCTCTTTTACTTAAAAGATTGTACAAAACCTAAACTGATACTAATTTGGTATTGATTATATTTGTTAAAAAATCTTACAGGCTTTATAGACATTGGGTTATTTTTTGTAGCAACCAAACAATATTTCCATCTTACAAATGATGAAATTCAGGCCTCGGAAATTTATGTATCTTGAATGAGTAGTTTTTAAAGCCATTGGTACTGGAGACTGGTCTTTAATCCTAATTTTCCCAATACTAGTGCTCTTACCATTCTAGTGAAATTAAAGAAGTCAGAGAGATATAAGAAGCTGTTGCATGAAAAGGCTCTGAGTGAATAAAAATGTTTAATTTTTTGAAATATGACTCTAGAGAACTGTGGTGTATACACTCAAATAATAAAGACTCGGTAAATGTATAAATACTGAAGAAGTTAGACACCAAGTAGATACTATAGAGACTTAAGTAGCAGAACTTTTTGAGTTTTGTGCAGTGGAAATGAAATATTCATGTTAAAATCCTGAAAATTTCCCCTACAATATAGGATATCAATGATTGGGTTGGACCACCCAATGACAATGGAGTAACCAAAGAAGTGACCATTAATCCAGACACCACTTGTGGCAATGGCTGGGTCTGTGAACATCGATGGCGTCAAATAAGGTTGGGAGCGTCCCCTGCAGATCTTGTCTAATAAGAAAGTTGTTTGACTTCATGTTTTAAATTGTTGAAGTTTAAGGGTACCAGCATTTCACATGATATTGTGCTTTTAGGAACATGGTTGCCTTCAGAAACGTTGTCAATGGTCAGCCTTTCTCAAACTGGTGGGATAATGGCAGCAACCAAGTGGCTTTTGGCAGAGGGAACAGAGGATTCATTGTCTTTAACAATGATGACTGGTAAGTGGATATCAATTAAAATAGGATTGTATACTGTTATATTTTTAGAGCATTCCTTTTGATTCCTGCTCATGTGTAGCTGAAAATCTTTTCATTAATGGATTTAAGAAACCAGAGTGACCTGAAAACTGTAGAAAAAAAGATACTTGCCCTTAATTTGTTTCTCCATTTTTGTAGATTTTGTTTTAAGTTTTGTTGTTACTGTTGTTTTTGGTGTAGTCTTACACTGTCATGTGAATATATTCTCATTCATATACACATGACATCTGTACAAGTCTAAACATTCAATAAAAGTCTTAAAAATCCATGTAAGTATGTGCATTATTAGATTCAAAGTACTCCACCATCCCCTAGCTCTGTATCTCAACTATTTATTTTTCTGTTTCTTTAATATATAATTTTAAATTCTCTGCCTCTGTGTGATGAGTAGTTTCAATGCATTTGTATACTTGGCTATGGCTGGTGGTTTTCTTCAAGAGGCAGTTGAGGTTTGGTTCTACAGTTTCCAATGACTGACCTTCCATTTTTGATGCATGCATCTTTTTTTCTTCTTTAATAATTTCCTCATATATATTTATATAACTATATGTAGAAAATCTCTGTGTAAGTAGTTGACAATCTCAGTTGAAAGTTATCTTTTGCTCATTTCGATTATTGTATTAAATCTGTCATTAAATACCATGTGCAAGGCACCTTATAGAAGAAAGAATTTATTTGGGCTTGCAATTCTGGGGGTGGGCTACACTCCTTGAAAGCAAGGTATGAAGGGAGGAGCAGGAAGGTGATTGCTCACACTTTGCACCTCAGCACAATACAGAAAGAGCTGACTAGAAAAGGTAGGACTCTTTTTTTTTCAAGGCGCTACCTTCAGTGACACAAATCCTCCAACAAGTCCACTTTTCCTAACCTCCCCAAACTATGTCACTACATGGGGACCAATGTTTTAACTTACCAAGTGCTCTTTTTATATGTATGCATGTGTGTATATGTATGTATGTATGTATGTATGTATGTATGTATGTATGTATGTATGTATCTATCTATCTATCTATCTATCTATCTATCTATCTATCTATCTATCTATCATCTACCTATCTATTTCACTCATTTGATTTCTGGCCAGTAAATTATAATTTTTATTTATACAGCACAAAGTTTAGGCAATTATTTAATTTGGATCTATCTATCTATCTATCATCTACATATCTATTTCACTTATTTGTTTTTTGGCCAGTGAATTATAAAAGTTTAGGCAATTATTTAATTTGGAGATAGTTTGCTTTCTTGAATTTTTTTGAATTTGACTTCTTTTTACTTTTTACTTTTTCAGGGAATTGTCAACAACTTTACAAACTGGTCTTCCTGCTGGCACATACTGTGATGTCATTTCTGGAGACAAAATTGACGGCAATTGCACCGGAATTAAAGTCTATGTTGGCAGTGATGGCAATGCTCACTTTTCTATTAGTAACTCTGCTGAAGACCCATTTATTGCAATCCATGCTGAATCAAAAATATAAAGTTTAAAATAAATACATATTGAGAGCATCAATCATTTGTATTTCTTTTCTTTTGTATAATTTAATTTTTTATTCAAGATGTATTTTAATTAATTTTATATACCAACCACAGATCCCCCCACATTCCTCCTCCCGCTCCCCCCCAAGCCTTCCCCCCTCCCCTGGCTTCCTCCTATACTCTCCTCCAAAAAGGTAAGTGCTCCCATGGGGAGTCAGCAAAACCTGGTACATTCAGTTGAGGCAGAGCCAAGCCCCTTCCTGTAGCATGAATCTTAACAAGTTCTTATTAATAAGATCAAACCTAAGGCCAGGTATTGGGGTGAACTGGAAGATCAGAGAACCAGAACAAGCCACAGCTAACCTCACCTGGCCAACTCTCAGCTGATCTTGTTTCCTCAGACTGGAAGCTTCTGTGTCCTCATCCCAATGGCTCTCAGCTGAACTGCTGCTCGAAAGCCTGAAGCTTAACCAGCTAAAAGCTTAACCAGCCAAATGCTGCTAGTTTCTGGTCCTCATGCCTTATAAACCTTTCTGCTTTCTACCATCACTCCCTGGGATTAAAGACTTGCTTTCTGGGATTAAAGGTGTGATGAGTCACCTTGCCTGCCTGTATCCTTGAACACATGGATTTCTGCCTCTGGAATGCTAGGATTAAAGGCGTGTGCTACCACTGCCTATCCTTTATGTTTAATATTGTGGCTGTTCTGTCTCTGACCCCAGACATGTTTATTAGCATGCACAATATTTGGGGGAATACAATACCACACCTTCCATTCATCAAGGCTGAGAAAGGCATCCCATCATAGGTAGTGGGCCCCAGAAAGCCAGCTCACGCACCAGGGATCGATCCTGATCACACTGCCAGGGGCCCCTCAAACAGACCATGCTACACAACCGTTTCTCATATGCAGAAGGCCTAGTTATGCACAGTTATGAACTAGTTATGAACCATGCAGGTTCCAGAACTGTTGGTCTAAAGTTTGTGAGTGCCTATGAGCTTGGTTCAGTTGTCTCTGTAGATTTCCCAGTCATGTTCTTAATCTCCCCTCCCCCTTGCTCATATAGACTCTCTTCCCTCTTTTCAGCTAGACTCCTGGAGCTTGACCTGGTGCTTGGCTGTGGATCTCTGTATCTGCTTCCATCAGTTACTGGATGAAAGGTCTATGACAACAGGGTATTCACCAATCTCATTACCGTGGTAGGCCAGTACAGGCACCCTCTCCATTATTGCTAGTAGTCTAATCTGGGTTGCCTTTTTGGATTTCTGGGAATTTTCCTAGCACCAGCTTTTCTCCTAACCCTATAATGTCTCCCTCTATCAAGATATCTCTTTTATTGCTCTCCCACAGCTCGACCATCCCCTTCTCTCATGTTCTCATCCCTCATCTCCTCCCTTCTATTTTCCCTCCTTATCCCCAGTTTACTCATGGAGATCTCATCTGTTTTTCCCTTCCCAGGGTGATCCATGCATCCCACTTAGGGTCCTCCTTGTTTCCTAGCTTCTCTGGAGCTGTGGATTGTAGTCTGATTATCTTTTGCTTTACATCTAGTATCTACTTATGAGTGAGTACATATTGAAAGCGCCCTGGGTACCTGCCAGTACTCCTGGCAATCCTGAGAAAAATTTCAAAACCCTCAAGGCCATAGCATATTCCTAGAATAGATGAGAAGGAGCAGAGCCAATACCATAGTAACACAAGGTTTCAAGGTCTTAGGACCAGAGGGAGGGGATGCAGTGGCCAATGCAACAATCTCTGAGACATAGCTTGTTATCAGCAGACTTGGTAAGCAAAGAATTGGCAGGCTTTTCTTAGGGTGTTTTGTGTTAGTAACCTTGGTAGACACCTGCAACTCTGATCTCGGTGCATAACTGTAAAGTTTAAAACTTATGATCTATATACACAGGCCTTTAGTCTAGTGTCTACTGTCTCATGGGAAAATAGATCTTGCTATGAAGCAGACCTTAGTATATTTTCTATATATCAAAATTATACAGCTAAATGAAAAGTCATCTTCTTGATTACCCACAGTAATATGTGCCCACCCATAAGACTGAGATGTAGTCATGAGATTTCATATATATATATTTAAAAATGTGATATATATATATATTTTTATATATATATATATGTATATATATATATATATTACATGAAGATGTATGGTAATGGGAAGATATCATAGTTGTTATTGCACAAGAAGTTTACAACAAGAAACAGCCAGTTCAATCAAAAGACAGTAATTCCAAAATGCCTTGTGTGATGGTTTCCTCCAACAGAACCCTTGGTTCTGATTGGTTGACCTTCTGATCAGTAGTTGTCAACTGCTGTATACTCCCATAATCTTTTGCTATGAGCAGCTCTCAATAAGAACACACTATGTTTTCTTTCTGAGTCTGGATTACCTCACTCAGGGTGTTATTTTCTACTTTCATCCATTTGCCTGCAAATTTAATGATGTCACTGTTTTTTTTAAAGCTGACTAATACTCCATTGTGTGTGTGTGTGTGTGTGTGTGTTTGTGTGTGTGTGTGTGTGTGTGT